GTAAAACAAGCTTGTTGGTAAATTGTTTGTCAGTGAATAAATCATCTGTAAAATAAGCTTGTTGGTAAAGTGATTGTTGTTGAAATGTGATGTCTTTGAAGTGATTGTCGATGAGTTGAATGACACCGCCCTTATGCTGGCCATAGTATCCCTCCGACTATAATACCATATATACAGCTTAAATTGTAAAGTACCCTGGGTATTTTAGTCCACGCTGTATGGTAAATAAATTTTAAAAAATATTCTTTTATCTACTAATGAATCTACAAAGTTATTTTTTGCTGATCCATGAAACCTTTAACCGAATATTGGAAATATACACAAACGAAGCTTTATGGTTAGAGAACGCTACAATGAATGTCTTAATAAATTAAAAAATCACGCAAAGCAAAATATTACATGTCCACTTCATAATATTCAGGAACGTCAAACTTATAAATACCCAAGAACAATTAACCCATACATTTCGAAGTAAATAAAAAAAGTTTTTTCAATTTCAATTAAAATTTTATTGATATATTTGAATTGAAGTAACAGTGCAAATAATAATGGTTAAAGTCAAAAAAACTTACCCAAATTCATGCATTTGCGAAAAACGAATTGCAGTATTAAATCATGCCCTTGTAGAAATAAAAATTCGTTATACTTAAGGCAAACCTTTTTAGTTACATTAATAAATTTTAATATATATTGCATAAATTTGAATATTTTCGGTTAAACATAATACGTATAATAAGTATTTCTGCAAGGTTTTTTTTTAATTTGCGAATATTATACCGATTGAAAAATGACGTATGTCGTTTTTCAATTGAAGAATGACATATGTCAATTAATAATTGACAAGATTTAAAAATGACACATAACATTTACATACATGATTTTTTTTATAACAACAATTCCAAGAAGATGATTTCTTAAATGAATATAATTTGGTCGGACACGTAATTTCGAATTTATTATGAATAGTTAAAGCTTAAATTAAATAATTGCATTTTCTTTTTTTCTTTAATTTTCATTGTACAATCTCATTTACATAATTATTAAACTTTTTTGGATTAATCTACGGATTTCTTAAGACGTCAAAGATTAATTTCATTATAAGATTAATGAAATCTCATAAATATTAAAGAAATTTTTTGCCATTAAAAAGTGGTTGTGTATTTTCATTTCTTCATCAATATCCTACATTTCAAATCTTTCTAAGTTCTCCACCATCTATTTGATTGGATTGAAACTTTTCTCAAATTCAAATTTTTTTTTTTTTTTTTTTTTTTTTGCTGACGATTTGATAATGACTTTGCAATAAATTTGCCACTTAAAAAACTTTAATTGTATCATTATCGATTCAAAAAATAAAACCACAACTATTTTTTAAATTATACTTATAGGAGCTTCAGAAATCATGATTATAATGCTTCTACCTATATCTAGCGAAATTTTTTTCATATTAGACAAAATAATGAAAATTTTCATTGTCTTCTATTTTTATATTTCAAATATTTCTTTTCAATTAAAAGCCTCTAATTTTTTAAACCTTTGATCGTCATACACAAAATCTTTAATGCAGAATCTAATTTTTGGGCGATGCTTGTTTTGTGAGTTAAAATGACCGTCAGAATAGAGAAGTTTGATAGTATGGTTAATATCACACCTTAATGATGAATTGTTAAGTTACATTAACACTAAAATCCATGAACTTGTCAACTTCAAATCTGCACCACAGACCTGGAACAGAATCAAATCATTTAATCGATTTAATTTATTCGAGATTCATTTGAATTATTTAAGTCACGAAAATTATTATTTATTTAAAGATAGATGCATTTCAAATTCCGTTCGACAAAGGTGAGCTTAGTATTCAATCTGTTTAAAAAAATTCTCCTCTTTTACAAAGCTTAATTAAAAACACTATAATAAAATATAGAACGTTACGCTAGAAAATTGTATGGATTGTAACTATAAATTTTGACATCTCAAGTATAAAATTTAATTATTTATAATGCGTCTTCAAAAAAAGAAAAAAAAAACTTATTAAACGCCCGAGGAGGGGCTCGAACCCTCGACATTCAGGTTAAAAGCCTGACGCTCTACCAATTGAGCTACCCGGGCAATTAACAATTTTAGTAAAAAATTTTTATTCCTAGAATTATATGCATAAACTTGTTACAGCTATAAAGAGTACAATGCTACCATAAATACAGATATCACGATTATCATATGTTTGTGTAACTAATGCTAACGATTACGAAATCGGCTAGTGCCTAACGTTAAAACCAATAAAGCTAGTCACAGAATAAAATCATATGCATTAAATTTGTTTTAGTCATATCTTAAATGTTATAAATCTTGTCAAGCAGGATATTTTAAACACTTGAGAGGCTATCTAACTATAAATATATAATAAAATCTTTTTTGATTGTGAAAAGATAATGTCAGGCAACCAAGCAGATTTGCGCTAATGAAAATGTGAATTCGAGTGTTCAAATAATGACAAGTGTAATAATGGTTCTAAATATTACGTTTCTTGTAATGCGATCAATACGTTAAAAAATCTTGTGTCATTAACTGGTAATATTATTCCTGTAATCTGCGCAGTACTAATTTTCAGTATGTTATAAAAGTCCAAGCTCAAACCTTTTGCACGCATCATCTAAATTGTATGTAGATTTGCAAAAATTTCAATTTCTTTTTTTCGTTTCAATAAAAACAACTTAAAAAATCAACTTAATTATTGTTGTTGTCAAAATAAACTAACACTAAAGCTTGTTCTTGTCGAGGAAATAATTTACTTGTGCAAGACGACGCGGTTGCATTTTACGTGGTGGATGTAAAAATAGATTTTTTTTTTTCTTTGCTTTAAAAATTTACACATCTATGATAAGGTTGTGTAATAAATTTTTACCGATTATGAAATAACATGCATTGTTTTAAAATTTGTAAATAGCATGTCACTTTCGGAGCGACGCAAATTGAAAAATGACGAAGAACATCAGCACTTTCTTGCAAATGATAAATTGGTTTTTCGACAAAAAACAGGCTTTAATATTACAATTAATCTTTCGACACCACAAATTATCGCTTATAGATTCGCAAGGATACAGCAAAAGAAAAACAAGCGAAGCTTAATAAACAATATATGAATAATTTAGGGAGACATAAATTTTTTATGTTGAAAATTTTTATAAAAACCGTACACGTCCAACTCGTAAAGTATAAACTATTATAATAACAAACCTCCAACCTTGAAAATTCAAGATGGCCAAGCTCATAATATTAATGTGGTACCCACCAAATACGTTCCTTGAATAAGTAATCCAAAAAAAAATTTAATTAATCAACAAATACTAATTACATAACTTTTATTAGTGTTGCAAATAATACGAATTATAATATTGTTCAAACCAAAGCATCCGACCAGATTCCTGCCAATGCCGAAAACAACTTGCAGCACCAAGTGTTCTTGCAGAAAAAGGAATTCGCTATGTTCAAGGAAAATCCGTGTGTTCTATGTAGAGATATAGAGAATGCAAAATTTTTTAAATGCATTGTTAAAATTGTATGAATATTTAAATGTATTCGCAAACTTAGTTAGAATTTAGCATTTATGCAAGCATATGATAATTCATTTTTATTTGCTTTTAATTAATCTATTTTTTAAAAAACATTATTTTATTCTTAAATAATTTATTATTATTTTTTTTTAATTTGTCCAGATTTTTTTTTGCTTTAATGGATATCGATTTAAAACGACATATGTCATTTCATAATTTACGAATGACTTATGTCAATTAATAATCGACGTAAATTGAATATAGTTTATCATCAAAAATTTATATAAATTAATTATTATTTTTTTCTCAAAAACAGCTGTTATCAGACATACAAGTAATAATGATCAGCATATAAAAAAAAAGTCAAATTGAAATTTTTGTAAATCTACCTACAATTTAAGTATGTATTAAATAAGCTTTTATATGAATTTATAAAGAAATTCTATATAAATTTGTGATACATGCAGAGAGGTTTAACAGTGTTTGAACTTGGACTTTTACGGCATCCAGAAAATTAGTACCTCGCAGATTACAATAATATTACCAGTCAATGACACAAGATTTTTAACGTATTGTTCGCATTACAAGATGCGTAATAGTTAGAACCATTATTACAATTGTTATTATTTGGACACTCGAATTCACATTTTCAATAGTGCAAATCTGCTTGGTTGCCTGGCATTATCTTTTCAACAATGAAAAAAGAGGTAGTCTCTCAAGTGGTTAAGATGATCTCTCAAGTGTTAAAAATATTTCAGTCGTCCAAGATTGAATTTTCAGGTTTTATAAAATTTAAGATATGATTAATTGTAACGAACGTACTAATAAACGCTTCATTAGCATCTAATGTTCTGAACATAATTGTAATTAAATAATGAGTTATGTCAAAACTATGATTTTGTATAGTTAATTCTAATTTCTTATACTGTAATTGAGACATAATAACTTAAAGCTTTAAGCTTTATTGATGTTTTTTAATGTTTTCTTGATGATTTTACGGAGCTTTCGGAGTTGATTTGAACTTTACAAGTATAAAAAAAGATGGTTTATTATCTTAATTAGGAAATTAATCTATGTATAGTTTAAATATGAAATTTAAAAATTTTCCGATACTGTACTATGTATTGATATGCGTACAAGCTTTATTTACTTCTTTGTCAAAAAATTTCATTATAATCGAATTTATGTACAGTAATTCCTTGTACGAGCTTTAATTGGGTACTTTAAGATTTTTGACAATAAACATTAAATTTGTGTAATCTTATTCAATTACTTTTTATGGGATGTTTACTACCGACTTACTTAAATTAGCATTTCTTTGCATCATGAGTGAAAACCTTAAAGCAGACTTTTTTTTTTATACTCTAACTCGTCAATTAGTTTAACACCTTACTCTCATATTAGCAATATATTATCTTCACTTATACATTCGTTTGATTTGATTTCAGAATGTCAGACAACTATGTGTTCGATCTTTCCGACCTTGAGATAAACAGTTTGGCAAACTCTTTTATAAATGCCCTAATGATGGTTGACGAACAAAAATGTCCAGAAGTCCGCACTGTTGAAAGTTTGAAACTCCACTATTACATTGATAAGTCCTATAAAGGAAACATATTACCTTACAATAAAGAGACTCAACACTTGTTACGTTTAGAAGATGATAAAATCTTATTACCTTCTCTTGTGAATGAGAAAGATGTTTATGAACTTGTTCAAAGATTGAACAACATCACTGTTTCTGAGAGACAGAATTATAATGCGGGAATAGTCATTCAAGTGGTAATTCGATTTTTAGTGTATTCATTACAATTTCGTAGATGTATGTCTGTTATACCAAGTGAACGTCTTACTTCGGCTGTATCGGCTGTGTCGGATTACAGAAGTGCTTTATTGGACCTTGCAAATCCTTTTACAACTCTACCGTGTAGAGTTCTTATTACTGATTTCTTGGAAAAGACTCAAGATTTGCTGAAATTACCTTTTAACCCGTATGTATTCTTTATTTATTACTTTAATAGATTGTTAAATGATTTTGTTAAATGATTGATATAGGTTAATAAATATTCAATCAAAAGAAAAAAAAGTTATTAAAAATTTAAATATAAACTTCATCAATTCTAATATTTAGGTACAATGATCCAACTAGCGATGTAAAAGCGTAATGTATCTTAACCTACTTTTAACCAAATACTTTAAATTATCTTAATATATATTTTTTTAATATTTGATTAAACCTATTTTTAACTAAATAAAAACAAATTATTATATAGTTCTATTAGTGGTGTTTCTCCTTTTCAAATTACTGGTGGTGCAATTCAACCATTTGATAATGAAGTTAGTTTTATCGAAAATTTATACCGTCAAGCTGCTGGTCAATATAAATCATTCGATAAAGCTGCACATATTGCAGGTTTTATTACTCCTTTTGGATTTAAGGAATACGTCCGTCATAGAATTCCCATGAAGCGTGTTATTAATGGAGCTTATATTTGTTATGTGGATCCTTTAAATAAGACTTATTATTATACTACTCTTATTCTTGATGAATTTCGTTTTAAGGTTCTAAAAAATCTTTTAATTTATGAAATTATCTCCGGAAAAGCTGCTTATATACACAGTGCTTTATATTTCTATATGAGCATGTGTACTTGTGAAGAAGATTTCAATTTAATGAGAGAGTATGGTGTTATCTCTTGGGGCTTTCCAATGAAAGGGTATGCTGAATTTCGTGAATTAATGAATGAATTAATGAATATCATGTATTGTTGGAAATTTTCGAATACTTGGTCTTGGCATTCTGAAATGGTTAAAATAGCAAAGTTTAAAGTTAAAACCCAAGATTCATCTAATTGGAATGACTTTGCTGCTACGTGCTATTCGGGAGGTTTGTTGAAGCAAGATGTATCCACGGCTTTTTTTAAAAGTCTTTCAACATGATTTTTTCTAGATATTATTAATTTGTCTTTTGACATTTTATATTTTATTTATTTATATTTAATCATTTATGTCATTCATTTTTATACATCTTGCATTTACACATTATTAGCATTTTTTATCATTACAGTATTTAATATATATATGTTCTATTAAAATTCCAAATATGATAGCTTAGCATATATTTTTTAAAACAAATAAATACTGCTGGTATTATTAGATATATGTTTGAAATTATTTGTAGCAATTAAAATAATTGTTGCAATATTTTTGGATTTCATAAATGCTATTACAAATCTAGAATTTGTTACTTATAAAAATCAAAGAATTTGCAAATAATTTTTATAAAAATTAAAGAATTTGCAAATAATTTTTATAAAAATTAAATAATTTTAACTATAATCTTTAGTTAAGCTGAGCAAATTTCTTTATTTTACTAACAAAATAAATTCATTTAATTCATTAAATCGTCTCTTTACATTAAAAACTTTTATCACCGATTTATTCTTTCGACTTTTTTAAAAAAAATCAAAGTTTGCTTCAACTTTTTTTTTAAAACAAAGTTTGCCAACTAATGCCAAATTAAATATTAATAAGTTAACATTTCAAATTTAATAATAATTTGAATTACATTTTACTGTATTACATTAATAAAGATTTGTATTAAATATTACTTTAATATATTTCTATCGTTTTTGATTAGTAATACATTTTTAAATTACAGTAAGCGATAAAACTATACTTTTTTTTTTTTTTACTTCTTTATATTGCAAATTGAGCAGAAAGCAGCTTTTTTTGTAAAAAAAAAACTCGGTTTAAATGCTTAACATATATTAAAGAAAGTAAAAGCGAATATGTGAAAAATAGGTTTACTTTGTCTGATTTTAAAAAAAGTGTTATTGATGTCTGTACATTTCTTAAAAGTCGGTTTGCTCTTCGCAAACATTTAATTTCACCACCACTGGAAAAAACTCTTATCAATATGTTAATATGGTTCAGCGCAATAATAAACATCCATTTCTTCATGAACTTCAACAAAATATATACCCATCGCATTATCTAATCCAAAAGTGAAATATTGTGATAATAAGGAAGCTGAGATAGATTTAAGTATGGCGAATATGTCAGTGTTTTTGAGGTTACAGATTATAAAGCTATTGAATTAAAAGAAATACCAGTGATGGTATCATTTATTTATTTTATTATTATATAAGCTATTTATACAGTCAACTTTGAACATAATTAATCTCTATGTATGAACTCTGAATATAACTAACTCAATATTTTAAAAGCTTGCAATAGTTCAATATAGAAGTGTCATGAGTCTTTAAGAAAACATAGTAATTTTCAATAATGAATTTTTTTATCTTTCAGAACTCAGTTCGTCATAAAAAGAGTAAATTATATTTTTTACATATTTATAAAATTAATTTATAGGCGGTTAAAATTCATTGAAAATTTGGAAACTTTTCTCAACAAAGAAAATAGTTAAATGTGATTGGCCTATACCAGGAACGGAGTGAAACGAAGTGTATAGTTATACGGAGAGTAACGTTATGTGCGCATACGGGCTTCTGATTGACATTGTTCCAAATGGTATGGTATCCTGATTTATATCTTGTTTATATGGTACGTGTTATATATGCAGGCTTGTAGTAAAAATTGCGTCAAACAGATCAAACACGTTTATTGTATAAAATTTAACTACTGTTAGACCCGGAACACGTGATCAACTAGTCACCGATTTCGTCGTAAGCTCATCGTCGCACGATCGGTAGTCACGATTTTGCCTCGGCTAGGAAGATCTCACCAAAGTTGGAATCCCATGCTTATAATGATTATAATGCATATATTGCATATATTGATTATAATCAGTATAATCAATATATGCGATATAAGCGCTATCATCATTATAAGCACGATAATGGATATCGGCACCCTAACAATAGATAGAATTTTGCTTATAAATAACCTGTAATTCCGTCCTAATAAGAAGGCGGATTTGAACATAAGAAATAATAAACAACTTACCTTGCATACATCAAATAAAGGTTCTTCTACGAGTGACTGTAGAGAACCATCGTCATAATAAAATACTTACCCGTAATAGTAATAAATCCCACCCTGTTAGTCTAGTATTCCTGAAGTAGTGTGGAATACTACAATTCTAGAATAGTAGAGTGATAGTCTTGACGTAGTGTAGACTATCCAAGATAAGCAAGACCCGAATCGAAATCGCTCGCCAAATCTACATGCCTCTTTCGACCGAAAGCCATCCAAACGTTACACGAAGCTGACCTTCAATTAGCGACAGACTCGCCGAATTAGGGCATCTCACTACATAAGCCGCATTTGTATTACTTATGCATAATAAGTTATTATTTTAATAAAATTATCTTGCGCCATAATTAATAAAGAAACCGTTGAACTATTTTTTTTAAGTAATCATTGATAATACAATAATTTATTATGAAATTATTGGGTGCTTTTAATTCAATTTTATTGGCCATGAATATTTTTATATTTGTGTACGGTTTCTATAATCATTCCACTTACTCCAATTTGATTAAGAGGTCTACCAAAATGGTGTTCGAGTTAACATTACTTTTTTGATGCAGTTGGTTACTATTTATATCATTAATACAGTTATAGCAAGTACTGAATTTGTGACATAATGCTTACTCGCCACAATAATGACTCGATCATAGTCAACAAAATTAACTTTCTATCTTAAAATGTCACCTATGAAACTATTTTTTGTGTTAATTCCTCTCATAATTTTGACATATATTTTTAATTCTAAATTCTTTTTTAACCTGATCTAACTCTAATTTAATATTAATTTTAAAATTAGCTTAATACAAGTTGATGTCAATCAATCTAGTCAGATGATTGACAAAGTCTTTACAGATTTCATTTGCGATTCGTCACATCTTCATACTAAATAAAAAGGAGACCTAATCCTTTACAAATAAAATCTTTTTTGATGTTTACGGTTAGGGCAAGTGCAGACATTATTCTCTTTTCATGCACAGTTATAAAAAATTAACTTTGTTTTGAAAGAATTTTTTCTTTAAAAACTATACATACTATCATGATTTCCTAATGAACTGTCCTAATTTGCATTTTCATACAGTACTAATTTACTATATACCCATAATAATCATCTGACATTTTTTATATTTGAGATACTAAACTAACTAACTAACTAATCTAAATATAAATAATCAGATAAAGTTATAATATGAAAAAGATGACAATAAAAAATAAAGAAATAGCATAATTATAATCCATCACATGCATGTAACAAGTTCAATTTAATTTATTTGTTTACATTCCTTTCTTAAATGATTGCTTATATGAAAAATTTTATCAATTTTTTTTTCAACTAAAAAAGATCAACCTAACTTTGCTCATCTTCCATATTTATTCAATTTTTTTTATAATTTTTAGAAAGTCATATATATTCTAAATATTTTTACTAGAAGAAATGACAAAATAGAGTAATTTAAATCACTAAATCAAATTGATTTGATCTTATCCAATAACAATGAAATTTTAAATTTAACAAATTAGATTCTTTATTTTACAAATATTAATATATAAACTGTGAATTACAATATGACCTTCTATTTCTAGTTTTGCATGACAGCGTCGCACAGTTACCTTATTATAGAAAAACTTCGAGAAGGATAGTACAATGATATACATGAGTGTCTAAATTATTTTTGAAATACAGTAAAGTAATTTTACAAAAAATTTCACCATTGCTATATATTTTATATGAACTTTCACAAATAATTACATTAATGAATTTTATTTAAGAATCCAAATAGTCTTGACAATAATTTCGGTAGATTAATTATTGAAATAATTATTTATTAAGAAATATATGTATGTATAGTGAAAATAAATTAAAATGCAATTTTATATTGCTTCATTGCAATATATATATATGCATCACTCTTGATATAACATAGTACCTCGGGCACATAGTGAGGAATTTTTTAAAATCCACTTTATTATAAGTTTTATTAGTAAATCTATTATATCAAGCAGTATTTATTATGATGTGAATTCGAATCTTGATCCACTATATCAAGATTTTACTTAGTCTCCATTGTATCAATAGTCTGTTATATTGATAGTCCGTTATATCAAGAGTGACGTGTATATATATTTATCATGATTAATTAGTATCACTATTTGAGTTATTAAGGACCAAAGTTTAGTTTTAAATTCTGATATGCTATAAACAACAGAGACAGTTAATGTTACATATATTAAAACTGGTGAGGGATTATATCCATCACAATTGAATTCAACATAAATAATTTAATTTATGATTGATCAACAAGTGAGAGTGATTCACTTTGGATCAGGCACTGTCTCTGCTGTTCTGACTATAATTATTTTATCATAATCATACACAATGCAATATAAAGATAGAGATAGAATAATAGAAATAAGATAAATAGATCTATAAGCACTTCAAGTAATCTTGACATTAAACAAATAAAAAATACTTCGAAATAGGGATGAGTCAAAATAGAAATATCTTAATATAAACATTACACTAAACTCATTATAACTACTGCTTTTAACTATTTCCTAATAGTGGTAAATCTTGATTGGAGTATAAAAAACTTGGCCCAAGTATTAGAGCATTCTGACTCTTATTGCAGTAGCCTCAAGTTCAAAAGTTAAGTATTCTAGTTCTTTGTGCTTGAATACTCTTTTTATATTATTTCTTCTAACTGCTTTTATTCACTACTAATATACTGCTTAATTCTTACTCTATAGCTATATCGAGAATTCAATATTCTATCCCAATCATAAATTGCAATTCATGATTGGTACATGATCATGGGTCACTATTCTTATTTTTCATTTTATTTCTTCAATTTAATTTATTTTTTAGATTCATTTTGTTTTATTTCTATTATTTCCTTTATTGAATCAAAGTTTTAGAATGTAATTAAACGTATATAAGCACAAGCATT